AGGATAGAACCGTGGTGGCTTCGTAGCGAGCGGGGGCAACCACACAGACATGCGCTCCGCCCCTGTGGTGGGATGTAGGGCACTGTCATGGCTCTGCTAGCAGCAGGGTGGCCTGCACCCCACGAGGCTCCAAGACCTTGACCCACGGCACCATCAGCCCAAAAGGACCTCTTGATGAGTTTGCTGTCTCTGCTGACCATCTGCAGCGATGCAGAGCTGAGTGACCCTTCCTAGCCTGGGTGCCCAGCAGGCACCCCGGGGCTGACCTGGACATTGCACAGCCTGCCCTTCCCTCAGCATCACCACACCCCACCCCCACTCCCCAGTAGAACAATGTGCACTTGGAGCTCAGGTCCCCTCTCAGCCCAAAGGCCAGTTCTAGACCCCTGCAGGAAGCTGTCTCACCTCCCCAGCGTGGCCTCGGGGTGCTCTCGGCCACTCAGTCACTGGCTGACCAGTGACTGCACCAGGACAGCGCAGCCAGCGCCTCAGTGGGCTCTGAGTGGGTGCCCAGTACTTGGTCCTTAGAGCACCTTTCACCCAAGCATGAGTCTCACCCGCTCCGCGACACTTCCTGGCACCACGGCCATTTCCAGAGCGCAGACTCCCCGCCAATGTCTCAACGTCCCCTGCCCTGGGCGACCTGTGGGCAAGCAAGGCCCTCCGCGGGACAGCCCTGTCCCTCAGGCTGCCTCGGCCGGAAGCCCTGCCCTGGCCTGCAGTGCGGAAGGCCCCAGCACATCTGGGCACAGTGCACTGGGGAGACTTGGCTGCAACTGCAGTGCCCCAGGGGACTTGGAGATGCGGATGGAACCACGGTTGACCCCGGCTGTGTTCCCGAGGACGCACCAGTGCCTGGGGGGCTGAGCTGGCCCAGAAAAAGGCAGCTCTCCCCAGGGACACACGGAAGGATGCACTCACTGGCCTCAACAGGGGCAGGGCACTGGGCCGCCCTTGCTCAGGCGTGCACAGCTCTCTGCAGGATAAAACTTGCGATGAATGAAATGACCCCGAGACCACTGCAGGGACGTGCAGGCTCCGAGAGGGCACCGGGGCCTGTGTCCCCACCCCAAGGTCCAGTCGGCCGCAGAAGTCAGAGCTAGCAGGTTGCACGGGGTTTATTCTGCTCCCATCAGCTTTCAAAGACCCCTTCCGGCTGTGCCTGAGGACAGAGGCTGCTCAGGAAGGGACTTCATCTGGGCCACGCCCAGGAAGTCTCCCTGTTCCAACTCCACGTCCTCTGCAGCAAACTGAGCCTCCGGCCATGTGGTGCTGGTGGACAGTTCCCACTGTGCCAATGCCCTTGCCAGCATCTACGCCACACCTACATGAGCCAGCAGCAGGAGGCCCCAGGGCACAGCCAGCGCCAGAAGACCAGGCTCCATGGCAATCTGGCAGCAACAAAAGCCAGAGATGCTGTGCAGGCAGGAAGCAGGGAGCTGACGCAGCAGCACCTGGCTAGGCAGCAGGGGTGGGCAGGTGCACAGGTGTGCAAGGGACGCAATTCTGTGCTGTGCACACTACAACCCCCAAGCTGGCTGTCTAGGCTCCAACACTGTTTGTCGTTGTTATGTAAATGGGTCTCCCATGGCCCCTTTGCCCTGGATAAGGACCCGCTTGGTGTGTATTCCTAGCCCAGCCCTCCACTGGACTCTAGGTGGACTTGTCGCTACCTGGACTTGTCACAGCCTCTCCAACTGAACCCACTGGGACCATGCCCCTGATCTTTCCAGCCCCTGCTCCACTTGCAGTCACACGCCCAGGAAACTGTGACCATGTTCTTTGGTTGCACAGACAAAAGCTCCAGAATGGTCGACGCCCGGCTCCTCTCACGGCCCACGTCACGTGACGTCAGTAGTTCTCGACGCTGCTTTCGGAACCTGACGGCTCCTCACACCTCCAGTGCTCACAGCTCACCGCAGTGACGGCTGGCTGGCTATGCTCCCCGCCCTGTCCCTTCCCCACCCTCTCCATGCGACTCCAGCCAAGCTGTCAGGGACCTGCTAATACAGAAGCAGATCCTCTTCTCTGCTGAAAATCAGTCCCACCAAGCCCTCGCAACGGCCCACAAACCCTGTGTGATCCGGCCCACGTTCCTTCCACGAATGACCTTCTCTGCTGTGCAGCCTTGCGGCCTTCATCTTCCCAGGAGCGCACCAGTAGGCTGCTGCCCCAGGGCCTCTGCGCTTGCGGAGCCCTCTGTCCTTTCTCCAGGTGTCTGCATGGCTGCTCGCTCCCTCATCTTTGACCCTTACTCAGTTGTCTCTTCCAGGGGTCGGAGCTGTGGCACAGCAGGTTAAACCGTCACCTACACTGCAGGCATCCCATATGGGCACCGGTTCGAGTCCCGGCTGCCCCTTTTCTGATCCAGCTCCCTGCTAATGTGCCTGGGAGAAGCAGATGCAAAGGCCCTGTGGTGGGTAACACCCAGGGGGAGCAAACCCTGGGGAGACTCCTCCGTGGGAAGCAAGACGCAAGCATGGTCTGTGCCCTTTCCTATGAGCCCACGGGGCGGGGGTAGGGGGGTGGTGGTGGACCGACCTCTGGGGGCTGCCAAAGGATACGAAGTGATGATTATTCTGGTTTCCTTTCCTGGTTGCATCGCCACCACCAGTGCCTGTCCACAGCACAGGGGCAAGAATTACCTGAGAGATACACAATCTGAAAACTATTCCACTTACAGTAACCACCAAATGAGCACACTCAGGAACAACTAACCACGAGGCAAAGGACTGCACGCTAAGAATCGTTGTTAAATGGGAAGGAATCCCGTGGCCACGAATTAGAAAACTCGATTTTGTTAAGATGGCAATATTCCCGCATCTACAGATTTAGTCTCCACCAACGTTTCAACTACTTTTTCTCTTTAATAAGAAATACGCAAGTTTATCCTGAAAGGCGTCAATTTGTAAGGGACCTAGAATAGCCAAAAAATCTTGAACCAGAACAAAGTTTGAGGATGCAACTTTCTGATTTCAGAATTTACTGTAAAGCTACCGCAATCAAAAGCACTGTGGTATCAGCCAAAGGACAGACACAGATGCCGGAACACAACTGGGACCCAAGTGCTCATTTCCCAGAGGGCACGAAGGTCACCCGAGGGGAAAGCGGTCCTCCGGAAGGTGGTGCTGGGGTGACTCAGCCGCTTTGTGAGAGTGAACTTGAACCTTTACCTCACATGTATGGAAGTGAATTCAAAACCGCATCAAAGACCTGAGGAGAAGAGCTAAAACTAATACATTCTTAGAAGGAAACGCAGGAGCGAATCTCTGTGGTCTTGGGCTAGCAATGGTTTCTTAAATTTTACCCAAAAACACGAGCCAACAGAAAAGATAAAACTAAAAACTTTTGTGCAACGGAGGGTACCAGCATGAAAGTGAAAGCAGAAATCCACAAACAAAAACAGGAATTTGTGAGAAAAACTTACACAACTGGTAAGTACTCTTACAGCTCAACAACAAAGAAAGACCTAATTTTTTTTTTTTATTTGCAGGTGGAGTTATTGACAGTGAGAGAGAGACAGAGAGAAAGGTCTTCCTTCCGTTGGTTCACCCTCCAAATGGCTGCCACGGCTGGCGCTGTGCCGATCCAAAGCCAGGAGCCGATGCTTCTCCTGGTCTCCATGCAGGTGCAGGGACTCAAGTACTTGGGCCATCCTCCACTGCCTTCCTGGGCCACAGCAGAGAGCTGGACTGGAAGAGCAGCAACGGGACTAGAACCTGGCACCCCAACCAGGACTAGAACCCGGGGTGCCGGCGCCGCAGGCGAAGGATTAGCCAAGTGAGCCATGGTGCCAGCCCTAATTTTTTTTAAGATTTTATTTATTTTGAAAGAGTTATACAGAAAGAGAGGCAGGGAGAGAGAGAGAGAGAGAGAAGAGAGAGGTCCTCCACCTGTTGTTCATTCCCCAACTGGCCCCAATGGCCGGAGCTGTGCCGATCCAAAGCCAGGAGCCAGAAGCCTCCTCTGGGTCTCCCATGTGGGAGCAGGGGGCCAAGCATGTGGGCCATCTTCTACTGCTTTTCCAGGCCATCGCTGAGAGCTGGATGGGAAGTGGAGCAGCCAGGTCTCGAACCAGCGCCCACTGCGGGTGGTGGCTTTACCTGCTATGCCACAGTGGCGGCCCCAAAATGATCTAATTTTACAACTGGCAGAACATTTGCACTGACCTCTCTCCAAAGAAGACACACGAGTAACAAGCACATGGGAAGACGCTCCGCATCACCCATCAGGAAAACGCGAATCAAAGCACAAATACCACTGCAAACCCACTACCTCGGCTGCAGCAGCAACAGTACTCAGAAACCCTCAGACAGCAAGGCGCGTCCGCAGGACCTGGCGGGCAGGAGTACCACCCACTGCTCACGGGAATGAAGACAGCACAGCTGCCGCAGTCAGACTGCTGCTCCAATGTTAGAGTGACCACAGGAGCCCGCCCCTCCATTCCCTAGGCACCACGGGAAGTGAAAGCAGATGTTTACCCAAAAACACGTGTATGCACCTCCACATAAGTACCAGTCCAGACAGCTAACAGGCACGACCAACCCCGACGTCCGCCAACAGACAAAGCACAGACGACATGCCATGGTCTACCCAGGCAACAGAGACTGTGAGGCTACCACAGTCACAGGGCTGACGGCTGCTCCACGGCTGATCTGCGAAACACCGTGCCAAGGAAAGAAGCAGGCCCATCAAGTACAATGTCCCAAACAGACAAACGGTAGAGACAAGGGTAGTCCAGGGGCTGGGAGGGGGCAGGCACAGGGCTGTGATTGTCATGGGTGTGGGGTCTCACTGCCGGGGATGAAAACGTTCAGGACACTGCGACTACACCAAAAGCCACAGGACTGTACAGTTTAAAATCATGGCAAATGGTGAACTCTGTATCCATTCTACTTCCATAAAACAAACAAAGACTTACCAGAGATGCTGCAAACAAAGTGGCAGAGTGGGAAGGGTTGGAATATCAAAGGCCGCGTGGAGTCCCCGGGACCACTGACCTTGCTTCTCCGGGTTGTCGGACCTGGGACGGCATGTCTTGGATCTCCAAGGTCCATTCCCCATCAGCCTTTTCTCCCCAGCAGTGGACGGTCATGAACTCCCAGTTTGTGAAACCCTTGCGTTGGAATGATCCAGCAGCCTGCAGCAGGAGACGCCCGGATTAGAAACTAGTGGGTGTGACGCCAGGTGGCAGCCCGGGGAGGGCTCTCTCCTGCCCCTTGGCATCTGTGTGGTTCAGACAGGGTGCACCTGGGGGGGCAGCAGAGCAAGAGGAGGGGAGGCAGGGGTGCAGGTTAAAACGCTGACGGTTTCTGTAAACTCTCCCAGCAGTTTCTTCCTGGCATCGCACGGGGCTCACACTGCCCATAAAAGAGGGGACAGGGTGCTGTGTGTCTCCTCCCTCTCACCCTAACTTAGGACCCCAGGAGCACTGGGATGCTGCAGGCTCAGGTGCCCATAACAGCCAAGCAGGGCTGACTTCCCCTCTGAGTTCTTCCAACCACCAGCAGGTTTCACAGGGTCAGCACCAACGCCCTCTGTCCCATCACCCCTCTGAGCAAAGCGTCCAGGCCCTTCCCACCGCAGGTAACCAGACCTTTACGGAGGCAGATGGAGGCTGGGCCACATCACCCTCTGGGAGTTCATGGAGAAGCCTTTCTACAGTAGGGGGTTGTGGAATGAATGACCTAGGGCCAGCTCTGGACACCTCTCTCCAGAAGCTACAGACAAGAACCAAAGAAGCGACTGCTCAGACTTGCAGGGGATAGTGTGGTCCCTCCAGGGCTTGGCCAGTTTCATTGGTCACCTCTGGGGATGAAGCTGATGCTAGTCCTGGTTGTGCTCCGACGTGGGTGGGAGGCACCCTTGGGCAAGGCATGAGAGGAGCAGGAAGAGAAGGCTCCTTCTCCTGCCTGCTGTTAGGCAACCCTTGCAGGTTGTGATGAGCCCCCAGCTGTGGTCTGAATACGGCCTGTTGTCACCAAAACTCATGCTGCACGCGGTCCTGATGTAACAGCCTGGGCAATGTGGAGCAGCCCTCATGAACAGACTGATGCCTCCTAAGTCCTTGCTCTCACAGGACTGAATTAACCACTGTTGCTACAAAGCAAGGTCCCCCAGGCTGCATCTCCTCTGCACCTGCCCTGCCTGTCCACTTCCAGCCATGAGCTGAGACATCAGAGGTCCAGCACACGTCTTTCTCCAGAGGCAGGAGCTGAAACGTCAGATGTCCTAGACAGAGCTGCAGCACGATCTTGAACTTCCAGCCTCCAGGACAGGGAGCCAGAGTAAACGTCTTTCCCCCTTAAGTACCAAGTGTGCCAGGTGTTCCCTTAGAGCCACAGAAAATGCATGGAGGCGCTTCCTTTGTCTTTGCTTTGAGGCTGGAAGGTCTTTCTTGACTGTCCCCGCCAGTCCCTGGGCCTCCAGCCTCAGTCCACATTGCATGTCTGGTTTCGGTAGAAGCAGGAAGCAGCACTGGCACCATCTCTTCCCACACCCAGGCTCCTCCTCCATGTTCTCGCCTGAGATGCAACAAATCCAGGTTCTTCTCACCTCCTCTTTCTTCACAGCCTAATTCTCCACCTCCTGTTTGGAATTCGTTGTTAACATAGGGCTCCTAACTGTTCACCAGAAATTCAAACAGGTAAGTTGTGAGATGTGAGATTCCACATCCAACGTCGTGGAACCTGGGAACGTTCCTGCAGGGAGAACACTGGGAGTGCTTTCCCTCAGGAGCCAGCCAAGGCCAAGGCTGGGGGTCACGAGATCCCACACTGACCCCGATGCAGCCGGGACACACTGTTTTGTAAATGCCAAGCTTCTTAAGGAAGTCAACTTCCTCTTTGCGGCCAAAGTGGCAGCCTGAAGACTGCCACACTCGGTGAGGTGTGACGTGGAAAGTAACAGATCCCAGCAGAACTTCTGGATCTAACTGAGAAATCTGCCTTAGAAGAAAACAACTCCCAAGGCTCAGATGACAACCAGGTGGCCTCAGGGCACTCTTGCAAGTGCTCAGGCCTGGGCGCAGCGTGGCCTAGCCAACAGGCAGGGGCAGAGGGAGGGAAGGCAAAGCCGGCTCGGGAGGGATGCGAGGGCCCGGAGAGGTCTGTGGACCAGGCGGCTGCATCACAACAGAACAGGAGGACAGCCAGGCGGGGGCCAGGGACACTGCCGAGCACGGGTATTTACGTGATATCACGACTCCTACAGTATGCCAACGTTACAAATAAGTGACATGACACTCCAGACATGAGGAATAAGCGAGGCCGAGTGGCCGGCCCCTGGGGGGCTGGCCCTGAGCTCGAGGCTCCCAGCCCACATCCTCTGGACACCACCGGCCTCCATGCCCGCCTGTCACCTGCCATCTCAGCCACGCGCCTCAGCACAGGCTCCTGGGCTCCCCACGCCACCACTGTGCCAGCTCCTAGCCTGCCTGCCATCAGGGGTCACCACCTTGGGTCTGCTGGGTGTAACTGCAGCCGGGAGAGAACGGGTACCGGAGCAGGATGCTCTGGAGAGCCCGTCGGCACCTGTGCTGGCACCAGGTCAGGGAGCGCAGGCTGCAGGGACGCAGGCTGGCCCGCCCGCCCGGCTCGAGGCCAGTGTGCACGGGGAAGGTGGTCCCAGGGCTGCAGAGCCTCCAGATCTTGAAGAAAGGCTGCAAATGTGGAATTCCTTACAACTTCAAACACAAAGAACTTCTAGGAGCCAAATGGCATCACGTTCCGGCTTGCAGCTGCACCTGCAAACTGTGCGTGCCCACGCTGGGCTCTGCTGGGCTGGGGCAGGGCAGGCCGTGCCCACATTTATGGGGGGAACAACCTTGTGCTGCTCTTGTGCCAGAAGAAGCGAACCTGGTAGGGACGGCTGTGGGGACCAAGCTCTTTTTTTCTTTTTCTTTTTTAAGGTTTAAAAGCAAGATTTATTAGAGTCAGAGACCTCCAGCCAGAGTGCCATTAGAGGGGCGGTCCAAGGGAGGAAAGACCCCGGGACCAAGCTCCTGACCCCACAAAAGCAGTGTCTGGTCTCAGGGCTGACTCCAGGCCCCCCGTGTTCTGCCAGCAGCAGAGAGGCCGGGCAGCTGGGCAGAGGCCCAGAGGCTGCGCTGCCTGTCCATTGCTCCGCCTTACATAAAGCAGCCGGGGAGAGGGGAGGCCTGTTCCAGAGTCCTGCTAATCCCTGAGGCCAACTGCGGACCAGAGCCCAGGCAAGCAAGCCAGACGGGTTCCTGGGAGCCTGGGTCAGCACATGCAGTGGAGGCCATGGCCCAGCGGACAAGGCAGCCCCTGGTCTCGGGTGCTTCCTGTGGGGATGGGATCCAGTCATCAGTTCTGGTTTCCAGAAGCTGGAAATGCTGCCTTGTCTCCCTCTGTGTCTTAGTTAGCAAGAGACAAAAGGACACCCTAGTGCTCCCCTGCCCCACCTCCCACAGATGCCCAATTACATAAAGGCACTGAAGCACCATGGGAAACGACCCCACGGCCTTCCACAGCAACGTGGTAAGCGTCAGAGCTCAGAGTTTGTGTCTGAGCACTGGCATCTGGGGGAGAAGGCCTCAGAGGGCCTCCTGGGAGCCCCTTCCGCACCCTGCCCAAGCCTGGATTTTCCATGGGGCACACTCCTGGCCACTGCGGAGCCCACGAACCAGTGGGGGCAGCTTCAGGAGATGCATTGTGCTCCTGTGACATGCACTCTCACCCATGTGTCTACTGCAGAGGATAAAGGTGACCCTCAAGGGGCCGGCACTGTGACGTTGGCAGGTTAAGCTGCCACCTTATATGGGTACTGGTTCAAGTCCCAGCTGCTCCATTTCCTATCTAGCTCCCTGCTCATGCGCCTGGGAAAGCAGTGGAAGACGGCCCAAGTCCTTGGCCCTCTCACCCATGTGGGAGACCTGGATGAAGCTCCTGGTTCCTGACTTTGGCCTAGCCTAGCCTCGTCATTGTGGCCACCTGGGGATGTGAACCAGCAGACAGATGTCTCCTGCTGTCTCTCCCTAGCTCTGCCTTTCAAATAAATAAAATACATCTTAAAAATTAAAAAAAAAATAAAGATGACTCTCAACAGATGTATAAGAGCAACGAGGGCGCAGCCAGAACTCCATCAGCCTCTGCACCACACAAGAAACGAGGTGAGCAGGGCCTCTGCGGCTGCTTCCAGAACACGCGAACTTTCCAGGGCTGCTCGACACCAGGGTCCAGGGTATCCCCTTTCCGTGAGAGAGGGGGCTGCTGGCTGCTGGTAGACCCCCAAGACCCTCCCCCCACGTGCAGGGGGCCTTCCGGGACACTGTGGCTGGACTGGATGGCACTGGTACACCCCGAATCCCATGGTGAGTCCCAGCCCCGCCCAGCCCGCCCAGCCTTACCTCTTGGCCAGGAGCTGAGACTTGGTTCCTGAGGGAGAGATCAGGTGGATCTGAAGGTCTCCCCGGCGCGGGTGCGAGATGGAGATGCGAGCCACCACGTGTTCCAGGTAGACCACGCGCTGGTCCGAGTGGTCGGCGCAGGCACTGGTCAGGGCCGTGCTGCGTAGCACCTGCACTACCGGGATGCTCCTGGGGAGGAAGGGGCAGCTTAGGACGCAGCCGAGTGTCACGCACGCCGCAGCCTCCTCCTCACGCTTCCCGGTCAGATGCCCCACCTGGAGCTGCGTCACCCACCAGAAGTTGCTTACAGCTCTGCAACCTGTCCAGGGATTTCAGTAACTGGTTCTGGTGCCGGCTCAGGGCCAAGCAGACAGCTTCTAAGCAGCATTTGGCCCGCTTACTTCCGCCAAGGTTGTGGTCTACAAGGCTGTACTGTCCCACTACTTCCTTTCAGGCTGGCCTTGACTACGGAAGCACAGTGCTGAGTAATAGCAGCGGCAAACATCGGAGCAGATGTGCTGGGCTCTGGTCTCGGCGATCAGAGGCGGCACTGGGGTTGGTGGCTGGAATCCAGTGCCTCTACCTCCACGCCTTGCAAATGTGCCCATGGGGACCCCATGCAAGGATGGGGGGCCACAGTCTACTCTTCTGTGCTGACCACCCAGGTCCAGGCTGTTGCAGATGGGCCAGTCCCCAGAGCTGACCAGAGCTGGCCAGCCCCTTCCTCTCTTGTCCTGGTGTGGACACACATCCCATGATGATGGCCACAGGGGATGGAATCAAGCCCCAGTCACTCAACAAATTATTTCTACCAGGATTCCCTGACACACTCCTCACCCAAACAGGAAGAAAGTCTGTCCCCAGATGCTGCTCACATGTCCAGGCTAAGCCGTCACCTGCCTCTTGCGGGCCACGTCGCCTCTGCCCCCAACCCCAGGAGCTCCCAGTGAAGAAAGATGGCATTCTTCGGGGCAGACCTCACTGCCGCCCACAGCCTGTCAGTAACGCCCCCCCACCCCCATCCGGCTGGCGCTCAGTTTATTACAGGGCGCACGTTTCCCATTAAGCCCTGACTCGCCTCCCAGGAGGCTGCGAGTGCCCCGAGCCTCTCAGGGATGACATCGCCTGGCTCTCGTGTGCCTGAGTCATAAAAAGCAATGCAAACAGTTAGAGCAGTGATGTCATTCCCGCAGAGACTCTGTAAATATTTGCAAACATGGTTTGCACGCACCGTAAACTGATGTGGGGACGTTGCCTTCTTTCATTGCCTTCTCCCGAGTTTTACTGTCTGTGTTTATCAGTCAGCAGGACCTCAGCATGGCGGCAGATGCAGAACACAACAGAAAGCTCTAGAGAGTTCCAGGCCCTGCAGGTCCCACATACAACTCCAGGTGAAGTACGCACTGGCAGCACTAAAAATGCAAGGTGGCTGCTTCTGGTAGGGGTCTCGTGAGGGCGCAGAAACTGTAAGTCCACGCACTCAGCAATCGCTTCTCTGGCTGCCTGTCAAGACCCCAGGCCCAGGAACAAGCCCACATGCTTAGACTTCTCAGACTGGATGAGCAAGATCAGGCCAACAGAAGCAGAAGCCAAACAAAGTTGAGAGAGCGTCCTCCATGGGAGACCTGGAAGAAGCACCTGGCTCCTGGCTTCGGATCGGCGCAGCGCCAGCCGTGGCAGCCATTTGGGGAGTGAACCAACGGAGGGAAGACCTTTCTCTCTGTCTCTCTCTCTCACTGTCTATAACGCTACCTGTCCAAAAAAAAAAAAAAAAAAAAAAGAGAGAGAGAGGGAGAGAGAGAGCGTGTCCTCACCCATCACACCATCACGATGTGCTAACTGGCAGGGGGGAGCAACAGACCTGGAGTCCCAGGGAAGAAACCTGTGTTGACAGGACAGGGGCTTAAGAAAGCAGAAGCAGGGTAAAGACAAGACAGGAAGACCCACCCCTCACCTGCTCTCCTCTGCACCCAGCCCAGAGCACGAGGCACAGAGAAGAAAGACCTCAATGTCTCTCCCATCTGGCTTCACGGGGGCCGACTCCCACCAAGGACTCCAGCCGGGTTCGGTCTGAGCCGCAGGGAGACTTGTTGCTGTAGCCTGCAGGGGCCGCAGTGGGCAGCACTCAGCTCCTTCAGGAGTCAACCGCTGGGCTTTCAAAGCCCAGACCTCCCCTTACCCGGGGGCGAGGAGCGGAGTGGCTTTTGGAACAAGGCTACATGTAACAGTTTTTACATGGACGGTGTAGTTCAGGTCACCAGGACTCCTCATTTCTGCCAAGTTCTAGGGGACCTGGCGGGGGGACAGAACGGACAGAAGAGCTAGCACCAGACAGTGAGGTATTCTCCTCCTCATGTGCATGACTCCCCTTCCCCCGATTTTATTTCTGCTCTTGCTGTTGAAGCCAATAAACGCCAACACAGCACATCGGGGGCTTCTAAATTTCCTTACAAAAAGCAGCAGGGGCTGCTGCCTGTAACACCAGAAGTCCGCATGGGCTGCTCCACTTCCTGTCCAGCTCCCTGCTAATGTGCTTGGGCAAGCAGCAGAGGAAGGCCCAGGTGCTTGGGCCCTGCACCCATGTGGGAGACCCGGATGAAGACCTTGGCTCCTGGCTTGGCTCTGGCAAGCCATCGCCATTGCAAGCCACTTGGGGATGAACCAGCAGGTTGAAGATCTCTCTGTAACCCTGCCTTTCAAATAAATAAATAAATCTTTAAAAAATGAAATAAAGAAAGGAAGGAAGGAAGGAGAAAGAAAGACAAACAGCAAAAGAGGAGGCAGCTTTAAAATGTTTTAAGACAGCGAGCTCAAGTTTTGCTGGTTCAGGTGGAAACTCCAGGTAGGAGGCAGGTGCTGGTGCGGGGGTTGGGATGCTACTTAGGACACCCACGTCACACCCACGCCCAGTATCAGAAGGTGGGGGCTGGAGCCCCGGATGTTTCTCATTCCAGCGTCCTGCTAACACGCACCCCGGGAGACAGTAGTGATGGCTCAAGGAATTGGATTCTTGCCACCTATGTTTGGAGACCTGCATTGAGGGCCTGGCCCAGCCTTGACTGCTGTGGGCATTTGTGGAATGAACCAAGAAATGAAGATTGCTCTGTTTCTCTCAACAGATAAATACACACACACACACACACACACACACACACACACGTATGTATATATTTTAAAGGAAAGAAACTCCAAGTAGGGACGTCAAATATCAAAAGTCCTCAGCTTAAGGATTAATTTAACTCCGAGGCAGGAAGTGAGATACTCTACGAGAACAATGGAAATTATTTCCTGTGCTACAGTCATGTCATGGTTAGACAATGTAAAGTGATCCTTTGTCACACAGATACAATGACATTATACTTTAACCATGAAAATTGATTTAGAAACATCTTAAAATTCCCAGGAAAACTGAAAACGTTCTTATGCTATTAACTTTTGCAAGAGTGCACAAAGCCATCTTTCCAGGGCTCTAAAGGAACCTGAGGGTTTCAGTGTGCCCATTGTGGGCCGAGGGAGCACTGTTCAGCCAGGGAGACGGTGATCTGGAAAGTTCATGGAGGACAGAGACGCCGCTGCCCGCCAAGGCACATTCCAGAACTCACGACTCTGGTCCTGCAGCCGCTCTCCATTCTTCCGAACCCCTCTGGACCAGGAGCCCCTGGGAAGGCAGAGCCATTGCGACAGGCGCCGAGCACCCCAGACCACGGGCACGATAGCCGCCTCCTAGGTTTCCCCGTGGAGATATAGAAAGCTGTGAATCTACTAAGATCACCCAGTCTTGAGGGGTCAGAGTCACATGCAGAGACAGATACACATGTGCACGTGCCCGGGGGGGGGGGGGCAGGGAAGGCTGGGAGACCTCTGCTTCCCACAGCCCCTAGGCTCCCGACTGGCCACGCTGCTGTCCTGGGACGCTGCTTCAAGTCCGTGAGTCACCCTGAGACCGCTCTCCAGCTCAGCTTCCTGAACTGACCTGCACCTGTGGCAATGCTGCCCTGCCAGGCTGTAGGGAACAGCAGGGTGCCCACTCCTTACTGGACAACCCCAGCTCATGGGGCTCAGCTGGGAAGCCTCTCTGGCTTCTAAGGGCATGAGCAGAGCATAGGGCAAAACTGGAACAGGATTTTCTTTTTTTAGGGTTTAAGGTGTTGTTTTTTAAATTTAATTGTCCTATCAATTGTACATATTTATGGGGTACAGTGTGACATTTTGATGCATGTAAACAATGTATAATGACCAAGCTAGGATAATTAGCATATCCATCATTCAAGTCTTTATTGTTCCTTTAAGCTTCTGGTCACCAATTTTCTTCAACCGATCAATACAGAACCTTGATTTACATATCCTATAATCTAATTATTTGAGACGTCTAAGAAATGAGTGGTAACCAGTCACCCTCCTGTGCCCCAGAATGAGAACGCAGTCCCCCTAGCTACTGGTATTTTGCACCAACCTTTGCTGGCCCCTCTGCCTTCCCAGCCCCTGGTAAGTACTACTCCTCCCGCACGCTCAGTGGGACAGAACGGTGACAGCACCAAGAAGCCACAGGAGGATCTGCACGGCCGCAGCCCGAGGCTTCAGTGCCTCCTAGAGCACTGCTCTCACACGAACCTCTCAGCACGTGGTCTCAGGGTCGGAAGTAGACCGAGGACCTCACTACTCTGTGGGCCTTCTTGTCTACAATTAGTTCGCAATTACGATTATCAAATCCACAGTGCATCAATGAAGCTAGAAAAAAACTCAAAAAAAAAAAAAAAGATAATGCAGTACATTAATTAAGACAATGCTGTCTGTGAGAGATGGGCTGTGAAGTGTGTAATACACAATATTTAAGTTTATGGCACACATTCCTTCTTGTCTGTGAAATGCCTGGGCTGTCTGTGCTGGCTTTAAACACTCCTTCCCGTTCCAGAGGTCTGACATTCAATCGGGTGGGGAGTGAAAAAGGCAATGGGATCTACAGTCAACCTCGTAATTTTTCAAGGATTCTGTATTTGCATACTCATGGACTCACTGAAGTTTTATTTGTATGCCCCAAGTCAATACTTGTGGCGCTCTCTGGTCATGTAACAGAAACGCACAGAGCGGTCCAGTGTTGGAGCTGCACACGGCACGCCCCAGCTGAGCTCAGCCAAGGTTGCGCCCTGCACCAACAAGCATTCCTTTTGCCATCAACGTGGTGCTACGCT